ATTTGGATTACTATGAAGTACTTTCATAAATTTCTAGTTTGATTTGGACATGAGTAATCAGTTGGCCTGGACTGGAAGAAGGGAAGGTAACCGAACACCAATGGAAAGTGACCGTACCAATGAGGATAGCAAGTCCCACAGCAGTTTTTCCTCCGTGGGCAGATGTGGAGGCCTAGGAACTCTAATCTTAATGCCTCTAAGGAACTAAGTGTCCTGATATAGACTCAACTAGACCCACAACTTTAAGAACTACAAATACATACTTTACTGACAGAACTTCAACATACTAATGTAACAAGAAGCATGTATCGAACACCTGTGCTAGGAATTACATTATTGCTACAAAGATGAAAAAGGCATGTCATAGGCTCTCCTCTCAAGAGGTCAGAGGCAAACAAGAAAAGTATAGAATGTATGCATATATTATATGTTGCCCTTAAGGTAATATGAGAATTATGCATAGATAAATACATTGATCTAGCATAGTGGGAAATGTAAACAAGTTGAAAAGATGATAAAAAATGAGGGTTACTCAAACCTAGGCCACAGGAAAAAAATCATCAATGACAATTTGGCCTTCTAACCAGTATTATTGTCTAAAGAACCCTATGCAATGCTTTGGAGGAGCTTAAAAGACGTGTGTAATTGAGAAATACATTTAACCCGTTGCTTATAGAGGTGTTTTCCACTTGGTGCTTCTTTTCCTGTATAATTGTAATAGGAGGAAAAGACCTGTCACTGGGGAAATCTCATGGGAATGAATGACAGGCGATATTACATGAATGAGACACTCGGGTGTGGGTAAGAAAGCCTGTGTAATTGCCTCGGATATCATCTTAGGAGAACCAGAGAAAGGAGCTAACAGAAAAGCCACGAAGAGATGAGAAAGAAAAGTACTGGTCAAGATTAGCCGGCCGCCCGCCTTAATTCCATGCCAGCCGTGTTTAGGAGGTTGATTTTCTGGATTTGGTTACCATAGAAACAGACCTCTAGAACACCCTCAGATCAATTTACACAATGACTGCCCATACTGAGTAGAGACAAGGAGAGAATATAAATATTAAAATCTATTTTTAAATTATTTTTAGAATTGGAATGCTCCATCGAGCCCTTTGAATACTGCTCATTTAGACAACCATGAGCTGCATTTTGGCAAAAGGTGTTAAAACCCTGCTCATTTTATTGAGGCGATGGGTTTCCAAATTCAGTTATTCCAATGTGTCATTTCAGTGAATGGTTCCCATTTCATTTTAAATGACAGTTCATCAGTGTTCTGAACCTAGTTTTAAAAACGAGTTATTATATGTACATCACCCTCACGGCTCAACCTTTAGGAGCCATTGGTGGGCTCAGTCTACCATCCAGATAATTCAAAGGGGAATCGCTGAGTCTTCACCTTGTGGCCATCAAAGAACAGGCCAGGGGATGAGATTTGGGAGTTTCCACCTAATCCTTTCTTGCAGATGTGTTTTCCTAGTTCACCTGTATGGAAGAGGTCCACCTTATGCTATGTACAGTTTTAAAATAGGGCTTGTTCTTAATATCTTGTGACACCTGAGGCACATTTTTATAGATGAAACCTTACCCAGAATTGTAAAAGTTGAGCCTCTTCTATCTGCCATGTTAACACCACTGCTCCCTTGAGATAAGATATGACTTTAAACAGAAGTTACTATTAGTTATTTTTCAAGTCTTTTTAAAAAATAATAATATTCCTTCTTTAAGAATAGTTTATTGATTTTTAGAGAGAGTAGAAGGGAGAGGGAGAAGAAGAGGGAGAGAGAAACGTCGATGTGAGAGCGAGACATAGACCGGCTGCCTTCTGCATGCCCCCTACTGGGGACAGAGCCAGCAACCTCCTGGTGCACCTGAGGGGCCCAACCAACGAACCACACTGGCCAGGGCTATTTTCCAATTCTTGAAAGAAGGAAACAAAGTCTGTCTAAATTGCTCTAGAAATTAAATAAAGACGTCCTTTCTCTAGGTGATTAAACAATGATTCCACCTATTGACAGAATGTATGAAATTTCTGCCTCTAGAGAAACTCTAGAACAATTATGCTATGGGGATTTGTAAGAGCCTTTTACATTCTTTCCTATTTTTCCACAAGTGCCAACTCTTACTTTAAGGCAAATCTGCTGTATTTGTACTCTTCTTGGTTATTCTACACAGGTATAATTACCCATTTAATTAAATTTACCCACTAATTTAAGAACCACTTTTTAAATATCTAGAATGCCTCAAACAGAATGCATTCTGCATAGAACAGCTACACAATTCCAGGAGGTACAATCACAGTGGAAAGAACCACCAATATGTGGTTGAACGTCATAATGTTCCCCGCTTCTAACCAGAGGCCAAAAACCAGACTTAGAGTTACAGTAACATAAAATGCATTCTGCCAGAGTGAGTCCAACAGATGAAAGAGAAAATGCTGTGAGAAACTGGAACTAAGCCCCAAAGGGCCCCCTTACCCTTACTTCATTCTTTATATTAATGAAAACTACACGCCCCCCCCAAACCTCAATTTGCATTATGTGTGGAATTGTTTTTCCTGCAACTGTTTACCAAAGAGCACATTATTTTGAGCCTGCTACAGAGTGGAATTTTAAGTTAATGAAATGACTTGTAAATTCCCAGAAATTCCCAAGTGGGATATGATTCAGCTGTAACTAGAGACCCGGGGACAGCATTCACTTTACTCTAGATTTTTTAGAGTAGAGCCTCAGGAAACATCTCATGTCATTTGTTTTTAGATCGTAAAATAAAACTGATGTTAGTCTAGCTCACAGCCACTTGGATTGGCTTTGGAGGTCACTGGCTGACCCGTCCTCACTGAAGTCATTGCACCCCAGAGGCTTCATTAGCAGCACAGGGACACAGAGAGCCTGCAAACAAAGGAGCCCGAAGACAGAGTGCTAGTGTCTCAGGTCTCCAGGAGCCTCTCAGCTGTTTTTACCCGGTTCCTGAACCATCACCTACGGACTACATCAAAACGAGCCACTTAATCCCCTCCACAAACCTCAAGCTGAAGGGGTGAAAAGCATTACTGTTGGTTTTAGAGAACTAGTAAAAAATTCTACCTAAATGATAAGTGAAACAGCTTTATGCTAAAGTTAAAGACGAGTTTTCAGGGGGAGCATCATATACCAGAGAGAGCATTTCAATAGCTACCTTCAGGAGAAAACTTTATATGCACGAACCATATAGTTTGTACGCAGTAGTGCACTACGTGCCACACACAAATATGCACATGCATACACATATAAACATCTCTATATTATGAAGATAATATAATTTTATTTGTTTCCAAAATCTCTTGACTATGTATTCTTCTAAAGGAGTGGGGGTGATAGGTAATTCTGAAACAATAACATAGAAGGATTTGGGGAAAGTTCGAGGCTCTTTTCTCTCTTCTAGTTGGGTTGTTAATTCAACGATACTTGCTTTTTTAACAAAAAAGGTGAGGAATGTATTTTTTCCCATAACATGGCACCAGGTTCTCTTTTCTCCTCTTGCAGTTTCCAAGCAACACTAAGGAATCGCCCGTACACTCAATTCAAGGGTAGAGAGAGCATGCTGACATCTAAACAGCGTCCCGGAGGTAAGCCACAGCCCGTATCAGTCAGATGAGGCCTACAGCTCATTTCCACAGGGAAAGTTTCAAACAGCTAGTCCCCATCGGAGTCAGGAATCATTTCCTGGTTATTTCTACAGCACCCCCGCTTTTCATTTAATTACATCAGGTAATTTACAGCACTGATTTACTCTGCAGGCATTAATCATCATAACACCCACCCGTGATACACAATAAAATCCCAAACCAATTCTCATGGGGACAATTCTAACTACCACCATTAAACAAACAAAAAACCCACATACACTTTCTCCAGCACCCAGAATCCACTATTAACTATTGTTCTCAATGCTCAAGGTTTAAGGCTTATTTATTTCAAAACAACTTGAACCCAACCACAGCTTTTCTTGTAAACATATCTAAACAGAGCAGATAGTCAGACGCATTCAAAGTGTCACTATATCCCTCCCTGAACTACCTGTCCATCTTCCTCACTTGGTTTTGATATAAAACCTAGAAAAAAGTTAAGAAAAATCAATAAAACTGCTGAAGAAATTGAAGATTTTTTCATAAAACCAATTATTCCCCAAATAAATTTTATTTTGATAAGAACACCATCGCGTCGTCCTATAAATTTAAATATGACACACCTAGCGGTATTAATGAGTCAAATTACATACAAGTGAAGTCACAGTTTTCGTGCCTGATTGTTCCCACAAATGGAAAGGTGCAAAGAGACAACTCAGCCAAAAAAGACAGGTAACTTAAAGACAACCCTAACCTATTTCCATGTTTTCATTTCATACTTGTGTCTAAATGCTTAGATGGGAATTGATACAAACTGACATGAGATAAAGGAATACGCTGCTTGAATAACCACAATTCTTTTCACTTCTCGCTCTGCCGTAGACAGCATCATCGGGAACGTTTCTACAAAGTGGCACCACGTGACAAGCTGCTTACTTCCTTTCCACTCTTCATAGGTAAGGCTTTTTCTGTGTTGTGACCTCTAACTCCTGCAGGTTGAGGAGAATGGCAGTGAACTTAAGTCTTCTAGCTCTAGCTGATTTCGTCAGAGAAAGGTGTCAGTGAGGGTAAGGTCAACATAGAATCAGTGAAAGGAGTCTACATATGATGTAACAGTTGTTCATAATCCTTTAAAGCAAAGACAGAAGATCTAGAGCTAAACAGGAATGAAAGGCCTAAGATACACACTGGGAACCCCACACCACACAGGGTTTCTGATGCAATTCATTGCTGACCCCAAGATAATTCAACAAAACCAGAGCCACTTCTGGGTCACAGGGAGAATTCTAAGGCAGCAGAAATAGCCAGTGAAGTATCTTCAAAAGATAAAGACCCAAAGACAAAAAAACAGAGTTGACAGCTAGGAAAGCCAATTGAGAAAATTAGACCCAGGGAATGCAAAGAACGTTTTTACTTTTCCATAGTAGAGGGCGGTAGAAAGGTAATGAACTTGGAGGCTGAAATCTGGTTCAGTTAAGTTAGCTTTTGACCTTAGTCACAACAATCGCCTTGAATGACCATTTCCTCATCTATAAAACAGGTACATTAAGATCCTCCAGCTTTTTTCATGGGCTTCAGACCAATGAGAATGAAAGTCAATGATACATTTGAGGTCACTCTGTAAATGATAAAAGACTATTCTTAACAAATGGGGATTTGGACACTTTAAACTATTAAGGATAAAAGCCAATTGAAGAAAACATAATAAAATTATCGAAATTTTGACCCAGGAGAGACCTTATTTAATAGCAGTTGCTGTGGAGCAGAAATGGGGAAATTTTGACTGGTTAACTAATCATGACACAATGTTATTATAGCAAAATACACTAGTTATAGACTATTAATTAAAAAACCAGGAAGGGTACTCTGTTAGCCTTAAAAAGTAAGCACTGACTAAATACAACTTTCTACCTCGTCTACAATATTTTGACACATTTTTTTAAGAAGAAACAAACATATAAATAAGTTGTTCTATGTATCATGGTAAGTCAGTAGCAATCAGGAACAAAACGTATACTATAGCTTAAGTCCTAGGCAGAATGTTCGATATTATAAGTTATTAACTCTGTTAATCACTCCTCATTGCACATCTCCTCAGTAAAGCAGTAACTGTTAACAAGTAGAGTTCAACAACCATTTTCCTGTTTCTTCAGCAGAGACTCAAAGGCAGGTACAGACACACTGTTTCACAATAACATGAAAAGAGCAAGCTTTGGGCTACTGCAAAAGGCTTTGCAAATGTCACCATCTAACTTAGAACAGAGGGAAGCAGACGCAGAGGGTGCTGATTTGTGCTATACGTGCTCTTATGTTAGGTGTGGTCCCAGTTGTAATATTTTAAAATTACAAGTAAGCCATAAGACTTCATATGTGAAAGTAGAAAATGGTCCAGAATTCTTCTTATTCAAAGACATACATTTTTCTTCCCAGTAATTCACCAGGAAGAAATGGGTACTTAGAAACCCTAAAGGGTTCTTTAAATAACATTCAGAAAAATATATAAAAATAAAAAAGCAAGAACAGAATAAAACAATGTTAAAAAATAAGACTTTCTTTAAAGACGGCTGCCCTCTCTTTGGGGATGGATGCTACACAAAGGGGGAGGATGTATCTCTATAATTCGTCGTGTTTATATGTAAATTCTCTGGCAGATATAAATCCGTCTTTATCTTCATCTTCTTTATCAAAAATATCCTCCACCAAAACATCATGATGACTTTCATTCACCACCGCACCGTGCTTCTCAAACTCCTTCTTTAAATACACTTTAACCTACGAAAGAATGGGTCTCGTTAATACTTCTAATTCATAAGATACCCATACCGAGTCGATCCACATCACAGACTGAACCGGTCGCTCATTTAATGATAAATAACAACTAGTACACAACTACTTTATGGCATGTTTCTAATGATAGTAAGAGAATTACAAAGACTTCCTTCCCTTAAAAACTCTTGACATACTGCTACAGCAGAAATGCGGAATATTGCTCAGCAGCAAAGGTCAGACTGAGATCATCGGCAGGACACCCAATGAAAGCAAACCACCTGTTCTTAATCTGAGTCCGAATAAAGCCAAGCATTTGAAAGGCCGCTGTCTTCCCGTCCATCCAGTTATCCAGAAGAGTCCACGCAGCGGGCCTGGCTACGATCATGCCACGCGACCCACCAATCTCAGAAATTAAATTCCGACCTGATGCGTGGTGCTTAGACTCAAGTCTCCGTTTTCACTCAGGTATTTAAAGCTGCAACAAAACGCTGCTCCCAATTAAATGCTAGATTCGCTATAATGGATTACAACCTGCATTTTAACTTTCAATCACATCCCTACCGTTCCTTCCACAAGATCAGCAACTTCAAATCCTCTCTCCTCCCCCTACCACCAACAGGCAAGCGTCTGGTATATAATTTACTTTTAAGATGAAGGTGGTTTAATGCTACTTTTTGTGTAAGGAAGGGAGAAACCGTGCTTCCAGCCTACACATTCGTTCCTTGGCTTTTTTTGTTTTCCTTTCTCCCCGGTGCGTAAGATGGACTGTTTTGCCTTGCCCTGGGTTTTTGAAAGATCCGTTTTGCCAGGACAGTTCGCACTTTGGAGTTGCCGCACAGGCAACGTGGATGTCCTGAGAAATACCTGCTGCGCAGCTTCTGTGGGAGCCTGGAGAGTGGCTGTTAAGTGTGTTTTGCAGTGAGCTCCTAGCACTCAGCAGCAAGCAACTCGCATGCTCGGTTTGGCCCAGGCGAGCATCCGGAGGAAGGCTCTGTGGATTAATGTAGAATACATCTCCAGGGCCTATTGGGATTTCCTAGGGAAAAGTCCATTTTCAAAGCACAGGGATTTCAAGATGATTTTTCTAAATAATATTCTACCCAAATTAACAATAAATTTTCTTTAAAAACATATTTCTAGAAAAGTGAGCTGAAAGACAGGAAGAGAAAGAGCGGGAGGGAGGAACGGTCACCTCGTCTTTGGAGAGCTTCCAGTCGTCATTAAGGTCCATTTCTTGGAATGACTCATGGGACCTCGGTCCATTTCGGATCTCCAGGAGGTCGATGTTAAATATCAGTGTGCTCTCTGGGGGTATTTTACCTGACATGGGGAGAGGGGGTTAAGTTGTATTAAAAAGAACCCAAAGTTTGGGTGATAGGAAACTTAGGGTACTGGACAAAATATTCTTTTAATTGAATTAAATGAAGAGCCCTCCTAAGATTGCCACTTACAACAGAAATTACTTATAACCGTATTTTACTTAAACAAATAAAGAAGAAATAACCCAAACTAATAGACCAAAAGCAGTCTGTTTTGGGCTTTGCAATTAAAAACTGTTTTACATATACACACATGCCCAATGGCCTGGGTATTAAAATGTCAAATATAATTAAAGTATTACATATTACATGTCGAGAATGACTTAAAGTGCTTTAGCTATTTCAGAGTTAACTATAGTACAAGTGATTTAGTAACTTGGGTGAGAAAGTCCTGACCTAGACATATATATAACACTGCCATTTCTACCACTGGAGGCGGTTTATAATTGAGTGAGCTCTGGTGTCCTTCTATCTAGGTGGCAGCTTACTTCTGCCCCTCTCTGAGCCTCAGTTTCCCAATCTGCAAAATGCAAGTGACAATAACGCCCACNGCAGCTTACTTCTGCCCCTCTCTGAGCCTCAGTTTCCCAATCTGCAAAATACAAATGACAATAACGCCCACTCAAGAGTCTGTTGGAAGGATGAAGGAAAGTAAGTCCATGCAAAATAGTTGTCATTATGCTTGATAAATAATAAGCTCTCCACGTATATTACTCAGGTATAATTCTCTTACAGGCTTTAGAAACCAGAGAGTTAGGCCATTACACACATGTGGAAGAAATTTCAGGAGAGGGGAGAAATTAAAACACATTCCTCAGAAGGGAGATAAAAATCTTTAAAAGTAATAAGAGCATTGGGAAAGTCCCAGAGACCTTAAAAAAATTTTTTTTTCTGGGTAGCATAGACCATTTTTTCCCAACTCTTTCCTTATAACTATATTTAACATACAGGTCTGGGTAAATAGGACAAATATTTCTCGTCTCCCCAGCCCATGTATTTCCATGAAAGGGCATTTGTAAGTGCCGAAGAGAACAAGACTTACGCTGCGTGCTGAAGTTTACCGTTGCAGGTCTACCCAGGGAAGGGACATGCACTAGGCCGTCGAGAGAACCGGTGTCTTTCCAAAGGTGTCATGCAAGCGAGGTGCTACAGGACTACAGAACTAGTGTTAAATACATAGTAGCGGAGTTAGTGTCATGGTGCTCAGCTGGAAGGAAATGACTCAAGTTTAGATCTCTACTTGTTATATAGTTGAGTTAAATGCAGTGTGGCGAAAAAGTAAGGGACTAATACTACATTAAATATTAAAGGTGAGACAATAAAGGCAGGAAGATGAAAGAATACACTTGAACATCAGAGAAACATTTTCTAGATGCTTGACTTTCTTCTCTTGAGATGATTAAAATAAGGAATGAACTTGGTTAGTAAATTCGTTCAATGCGTAAGATTTCTGTAGCAAGTTCAAGTTCCACTTTAGAATACACAGTGTTTCACATCTGACACCTATTTTCTTCCTGGGAAACTGGGACTAGGGTTCCCACTTTGTAGATGGTTTAGACCTAAGGATGCTGTGAAGTCTATGTTCCTACAACATCAGAGTGGCTCTTCGTCTGGTCCTAATGACTACTTACAATTATTTTCTTCATTATGTAGGTAATATGTGCCCATTAGAGAGGATTTGGAAGAGATAGAACCAGAAGTAAAAATAATTCCCAGCCCCATTGTTAACACTCTTATTTCTTTGTGATTCACTTTGTATGTGTATATACATTTTTCTAATACTATCACAGTATAATATATACTATAGCATTATTTCTACCTTCATATATAATATCATACACATTTTGGATAGAATTTTTTAAATCTCTGAAATGTCATTTTTAAGTAACTGAGCCATATTTCATTTTGCTAAACTCTTTTCATTCTACACTTAAGTTGGTTCTATTTTTAAATTTTTTTTTGCCATTAGGAACAACACAGTAATGGACATCTCTGTTCACAAATCTGATACCCGATTCTTCCCTTCGGTAGATTACAATAAAGGAGTTCTCGGATACATGTGTATCCTATACTTAAAGCATCTTCTGGCCTCCTGTAAACAGCCTGTAGAGGCTGCAATGTTTCCACTCAGACAGCAGGTATATGTGCCTGCCCTGGACCAGCCAGCGCACTTGCTTCCATTCTACTAAACTCATTTCATGTCGCTCCATTATTTTTTTAAGTTAAATTATCAAAAACTTAATACGCTCTGGTGTGGGAAACTTCAGTTGAGAGTTACACACAGCCCACATCTAAACTTCTATTTAATACCTTAATAATCTATATTTTTTTAAATGTTCAACTCCTCAAAAAACACTTATGTTGAGTAATCTATTTTTTGCACTGTTAAAACAAATCGGTGTTTCAGTTGGGTAGGATGAAAAAGGTCTGGAGATGGACAGCTGTGATGTTTGCGCAACAATGTGAATGTACTTAATGCCACTGAAAGGTACGCTTAAAAGTGGTTAAATGGTAAATATGATGTTATGTGTACTGTACCACACTCACACAAAAGACGCCATCATGTTGGTGAACAGTGTTCATATTAGAGTTGAAGGTTCCAAGGCCTTTTTTTCATTGTTAGCTCAGCTGACCATTAGATAGTATGGCTTTAATTGGCCATTTCAAATGACAATCAAGACATAATTATATTTCCCAAAGAAATACAAGTCTCCTACCTCTAGAGGGAAAAAATACACAGTAGTTACACTAACTCCTGTCTCCTGATTTAGAAAAGAGCTCTGGTGCTATAGAAAAATGTAGAATTGTTGTTACCTTTCCCTTCTTTTCCATAGCCCAGGGCAGGAGGAATGATCAGCTTTCGCTTCTCTCCGACACACATTCCCTTCAGGCCCTGGTCCCAGCCTTTGAGCGCCTCCAGGATGCCCAGGGTGAACCAGATGGGCTGACCATTGTTATGTTTGTGACTACAATAGAAAGAAAACACATGGGAACATTGCGTGTAACTTTTTTTTTATTGCTGTGATGCATTGTTTCCACCCGTAGTGGTTAAATTTGGAAATTAATGAAAACAGCTACACACACACGCAACCAAGTCAACTTTATAGTGTAATTCAAAAACCAGGTATTACCCCAAATGCTTTGCCTCTTTTAACTCTAACGATGATCATGTGAGCTAAGCACCATCATTCCCTGTTGCACAGATGAGGAAACCGAGGTTAAGTGCGCCAGTATTTGACCTAACTACAAAGTTCGAGGTCTTAACCACAAAGCGATGCTGTCCCGGGAAGTTCTAGCAGGTGCAGGAGAGGGAGGAAAACAGTTAAAAGTGGGTGAGTTTGGGAAAGAGGGTGAGAGGCTAAGGAGAACTTCCAGCCCGCACACCCAGGCCCACACCCACGTGGACGCTGCGGGAGTCAGGAGCACGGCCCCTTCTAGCTGCCTGAAGGCTTTCCTCCTCTGCAGCCTGCTGAGGGCTCTGACGGCCGGAAAGGGCTGCTCTTCCACACTTCACCCCACTCAGACCCCGGCCGTTCTCTCCGCAGGGGTCCGCTGTGGGGCCGTGCAGGGCAGCCTGGAGGGGTGGCCCCTCAAGGACTGAGGAAGAGAGAAATGGTCGAGGTATCCTGGCGCGTGAGCTGAAGGGAGGCCAGCCCAGGAAAGCCAACCTGCGGAGCTACTGCAGGGCTGGAGGGCCGAGAAGTGTCTGAGCCCCAGTTAGCTCCCTTTTGGTACAAAAGGAAAGCGTTCTTTTCTATACAAGGGTATCTTGTAGGTGAGAAGGGAAGTCGCTCTGCTAGGTTTTATGGTTACCATGGTCACTAAGTCTAGGTAAAGGCTGTTACTTGCTCTTTTCCTTAATTTCTCCCATGATCAAAGTAACAAAATGCCAATTGTAGAAAATCTGGGAAAGACAGAAAAAAAATTAGAAAGAAACAATCTACCACCCAGCACTGACTACAGTTTTGGCACATTTCTTGGCACGGCTAAAGGATTTAAGCCTTTATTTATTTACCGCCTAGGCTATGCTCCTAGAAACGGCAATCAGGCTTTATAAAGTGATCAAGTTATGGTACTTCATCATCATTCTCGGGGTAGGCAGTTCCTGACCATTTATATGGAGGCTGAAGGACAACAGTCCCCTCATCAGTTACTAGACTTTAGTAGCAAACGGCTAAGTAATGTCCCGTAACTATCACCGATGTTCACATAGGTTTTTGGTTCTGAGACCTGAAAGAAATAAGTCTGGGTCTCAAAGAGATCAGACTAAAACTAAGAATATAATTGGAAATATTAAATGCAAATCATTGTATTGTTTAATGTCCACCATGGCGATGGCCTTGTCAATAAGAAGATAGGGCTGCTGAGAATTGCATGGCGAGAGATCATTTTGGAACTTTTTGCGAGGGCCAACAGAGTTCAGAGGACAGAGCCATCCGTGTCTCCAAAACCTCTCGACAGACCAGATCTGGACGCCCAGGCTTGATAGATGGACAGATAAATGAATGATGATGGAGAGAAGCCAAAAAAATTTAATCTCCCTAGTATCAAGCACAGGGCCTGAAACAAAGAAAATGTTCAATAAATACCTTTGGAATGCAATGAGTAGAGCCAATGCCTAACTGGAAATCATTACACTTTTAAAACGTTTGCATGTAACAGTTAGTTTATATAACAGAAATGATAGTGTAACCACCTGAAAATCCTTCACTGTGGGTGTTGGATCCATCAATTAAGTCTTTGACTCTAAAGAGAAACAAATGATGAAACAAAGCATGGGCCCGTGCCTTGACCAAAAGTCAATTGTGAGAACCAAAGTTAAAAAGCTCAGTGAAGCAGCATTAACAGCGCTGTGTCTTCTGCTCACCAAGCTGCTGGGGGAAGTTTTAAGTCAATTTCACCTACACCAAATTAAAAATGGAACTGAGTCATTCTCCCTCAGGAACGGAGTTTGAAAAATGAAAATCCCTTTAAGTTTTTTTTTCTATCTATTGTCTAATTTTACACCTAGACGCTTAAACACTCGAGGTCTAATATTTATAAGAAGAAAATTAACTTTTATCTCGACTGCACGTTTCCAACAAAACGTGCAAAGATCTCCTTATATAAGACTGGCTTTGAACAATATCCTTTCCCCAAAGGGGGAAATAAGATATTTCAGGTATTTTTAAAATACGGTAATTCTTGGTACACGCCACCAAGCCCAGGATCTGGGGCAGGTGGGCGGGCTCTGCACCGTTTTACCTGCGGCGCGTAATCACTTACGTGGAGTGAAATAAAGAGCCGTCCTTTTCTAAGTAGCCTTCGTAGTGGAGCAGCATCAGATCGCCGCCTTTGGTCTTGCGGTGGCAGGTGAAGGGCTTCTGGAGCACCTCCACCTTCACTTCTGGCTCGGGGATCAGAGCCCCGCTCAGAGCCGAGACCAGCAGCGTCAGCACCGAGCTGCACAGGAAAAGCCTCATGTCGCTGGAGCGGGAAAAAAGCTCCGACGAGAACAGAGAAAGGACCCCGGGCCTCATAGAGTTAAGGATGCAGTGGATGGCTCCAGGACGACGGCCGCGGGCAAGTTCATGACCCTCCCTTCCGAGCGGACGTGGCAAGTCCGCGCCCTGCAACTTTCCCACGCACCGCGACCTCGCCTCGAAAGGGTTAAATCCAAAGCCCGGCCCGGAGTGGCTTTCGGCGACGTGGTCGTCTGGGAATGTCGGCCTCCCATTGGCTCGCGGCGCTGTCCCTCAGGCGCCTCTCAGCCAACGACGCTGCAAGAATGTCCTGTACAGCCCTCTGGAGGCGGAGTCGCCCGGCGGCTGACCACCGCGAGCGGTCCTAGAGCCCGGCGGATTCAAGAATTTCCCAACTTGGAATTTCGGAAGAGAGAGAAGCTGGGGTGCGGGACTAATCCGGAAACGCCCCCGACAGATTGACACGTGTCAAGTGCCCCAGCTGAGCGTGGTGGGGGGAAGAGTCCTGCCGCCTTGTGAAAATGGTAGAGGTTTCCGGAAATATTTATTCTCGCCGCAGGTGAGAAGCCGCCAGGATTTCACAGTTTGAGACTCCTGCTATTGCTTATTTTTTAATTTACGGTGTGAACCATAAAGATTTACACAGTGCTGTAGGGTTTTCAACACGCGATCCCGTGCGTGATCTTTCCTACGCTGCCAGTAAGGCAGGTTCTATTATCCGACATAAAAAAAAAATAAGCGTATTTAAGCCAGGAGAGATTAAAAGTGTCCTAAGGTAGCCCAGCCCCAGAGCGGTTGCGCTCCGCCTTCGAACCGCGCCTTCGGAGGCGTCTGCAACAGCGCATCAGGCTGTGGCTACGGATGATTTATCTCTGAGCCGTTCATTCTCTGGGAGGTCTGGGCTGGAGGGCCCATAACAGCTTCTCTGCAGGACAAGCCCCTGCTTAGGGGAGAAATGGTTCATCTTAGTTTACATTTTTTTTTTTTTTAGTTTTACATTTTCCGTCTCATTTCAAAAGCAGTACACGTTCGTTATACTAGATTTGCAGGAAATTGGAAAGCACTAAAGTAGGGTTTCCAGGTAGGAGACAGGAGCTGAATTAAATTTGAATTTCAGATAAACGATGCATTGTTCTGTATTTTTTATTTGCCAAATACGGCAAGTTTACACTAAAGAAAAATAATAAAATAAAATAATAAAGATCGCCTCTAGCGCACCGTCCGCGAATAGTCTTAGCATTTTGGTGCACGCTCCTGTGACCTATGCCTAAAATAATTTGTGTCACGTTGTACGCTTTGTTTCCTCACCAACGTTTCCTGGCTCAAATATCCTTCAGCACAGAACTTTCTCACACTGTCATATGCAACGGGATCCCCTGGGGATCTTGTTAAAAATGCAGTTTTCGACCTGGGAGGTCTGGGCTAGAGGCGAAATGCTGCAGTGCTGACAAGCTCCTAGGAGACGCCAACGCTGCTGTCCTTAGACCCATTTCTAGTAGCCGGGCCTTAGAATTTGGACATTTTATTTACACCCGCCACGCAGCATTCTGTTGCGAAATTCCCTTCATCTCCGTAAGCCCTATTGTTGGGTCCCTCGAGTGCGTGGGATCGACTGGGGACTAGAATCCAGGGGCCACCCTAAGGGGCTACGTGAACCCCCCAAGCCCTGGGAGGTGGGCCCGCACCATTACCAGGAGCGCGTCCCGCCCGGGTCCCAGCGGCTCCCCTCGCCGGGTTCCACCCCGCGCTTTCTCCCGAGCCCGCCTCCCAGGACTCAATTTCCC